GAGATTCCGTACGCTGTCGCTGGCTCGGTTATCTTTTACGTTCTTTACTATTTCCTCGTGGGGTTACCTTTGGGCTTCCCTGCGGGATACACTTTCTTGATGATCTTTTTGTTTATCGTATTTTGCACGTCGTGGGGGCAATGGATTGGTGCATTGAGGTGAGTCCATCGAAGAGCTCCTACATGGTACGCATGCTAATGAGAACAGTCCAAACTCGGTTGTCGCCGCGACATTTATGCCCTTCTTTATCTGCGTCTGTGAGCTGTTCAACGGTATCCTACAACCCCATGCGCAGATGCCCACACTCTGGAAATACACCATGTATTACATGACACCCTTCACCTACTGGATCGGAGGTGTCCTCTCGGCCATCCTCAAGGGGACTCCAGTCACCTGCACGCAAGACGAACTGGCCGTCTTCCAGTCTCCGGTAAACACTACCTGTGCAGAATACGCCGGGCCATGGCTGTCGGAGAAGGGGAGGGGATATCTGTCTAATCCGGATGAGTACGGACTGTGTGGTTATTGTGAATATAGTTATGGTGATGATGTGAGTGCCCCTTCATACTCAACTAAAGTACACAATACTAACGAATGCAGTATCTATCAACAATCGAACTAGGCCAATCAAAAATATGGCCTTATTTTGGCATCTTCATGGCTTTCGTCGTTACGAATTACATGATGGTTTATTTACTGGTTTACCTGCGGTCTGTCATGAAGATAAAGCCTTTCTGGCGGTTTTCACGCAGTTAATGCATGGCGTTCATTTGGTTATTCTCGGTTTTCGGATTGGGTACGATTTAATCTGGGTTCTCTTTTTCTCGGTTACATAATTCGCTATGATATCCCCTGAGTATTAGTACATAATGGTTTGCCTAGTGGATGGATGGATGGGCTTTGTTTTTTTTTTTTTTTTTTTTTTTTTTTTTTTTTTTTTTTTTTGTTCGATTATATTAGATCTTGTTGCTGAAAGATTTTATTTTGGGTGTATACCCATAGATCAAGACGCTTTAACTTCACGTGGTGGGCAATCGCTATGTTGAAGATATATAGGATTGCCTATCTAACATACGTATGTTGAAACAAAACAATCCAGGGCTCATGTAAACATGAAAAGAAACCCAAAATAGACCAAAGTCCACCGTATAGTCGCCGCCGCGTAAAGACCAGTCAGTACACCCAGTCTAACCTTCTTGCCTATCCAGTCACGATGAGTATCTTCATGACAATGGATGCGACCCTCCGATGCCCAAGTTCCATTGCTTCGCAACCCATTATAGTCGGATGGGTATTCTGATTGCTTACGATGTATATCAGGGACCATCGTGCACCTCGCCAACGCGTAAAGAAGAGTCAGAGTACCATGTTTGACCAACTTGCCTATCCATTCACAATGGGCCTCTTCCAAGGCGAGCGGCAGTGACACAAATTTACATGACTGTAGTAATCATACTGATTCTGGTGCGGTTGTTAGTCAATAATATGGAAAGCAGATCCTCAGAGGCACACGTACCCAACTGAGCAGCAAATGAAATCAAATGCTGCCCTATGCCCTGGTGCTTGCTCCCCCATGGTATCTCTCCTCCATAGTATTATTTTGCTCCTTCTGCGCCTCCAAGTCCTTGTGCTTGTCCTGTGGCTGCCCGTAAAGGACAATTGGGTTCTGTGAGGAAGTGCCTTCAGCGGGAGAAATTCCCTCAACCGGAGGTTGACTTTTGGCGCTTGCTCTTGCCAGCAATCACGGACCCCACCGTGTGAGAAAATCACCTGTGGAGCGAGGTTCCTCAATGTCTGCACGGTGGGCACAACTCGATATTCCTCCATACTCTTCGCTTGCGCGTGTTGCGGGTCATCGAAGGTGCACTCGATCGCTGTGGCATTGGCAGAGGGAGAGGGAGAGGGATTGAGATTTGCGCACCTGATTGCGCTTCGAGGTTGTTTTTTTTTTTTTTTTTTGGCGACGACGCGAGGGGGGTGATATAGGCGTCGAGGGACATACCCACGGTTGGAGAGTAACCTTGGGGCTGGAGTTTGGTCTGACCACAGTAATACTGGCCAGGCATGCGGCGAGAATTGGTCTTTCTTGACGTTGTTAGATTCTTTAGTGCATCAACATCGAAAATAAATGTGAAGCCCCAAAAAGAAAATGTGAAGCCATCACAGACAGATAACGGTCACGAGTTTAGAACTGCTCAGCACAAAACCGAATCTTGCTCGATGCTGTTTTAGGCAGAAATTGACTTGTGACTGGCTGCCAGTGACCACTTGGAGGACGGTTTTGGATCGACGGGCCGTGTTCCTGAGTGCTGCGCGGTGTTAGGAAAAATCCAGATAGATTGGGGGCCAGAAGAAGATATCGGGCAACCCACAATGTCTAACATACCTTCAGCTCCGTACTAAGGAGGGAAAAACAAGAGTCGAGGGCGGAGGGCTTCTTGTGTGTTCGAGCTAAGAGCTTCCATAGCGGTGGGACTGAGAATGATTTGTGGAACAAGAACGAACGGAGGACGAAGAACGTGAGCTTCGAGGCCAGTTTAAGTAAGAGACGATCTTTGAAGAGAGTAGAGCACAGCTCTGCATATTTCAGCTGACGTTAAGATCCTCGCCGGCTTTCAAAAGAGTTTTATGATTAGGGCCCGGAGAGTTCTCCGGTGTAGATCCATCTATCATAGACCCCTATACTGATTTTTCTTCAACTTTTCTAAATCTTGCAATTATCAAGCAATTGTACTAACTTCATGGTCCTGTATGGCTTCTAAAGTATCTAATTGATTGTCAGTGAAATGCATACTATGGTCAACCATCGGGGAACTTTAATGCTTGATTAATCGGGCATTCAATATGCGACCGGCATACACCATACTCCGCGGCCATGCCCTAATACATATTCTTCGAGACATTTTTACGGTTGCATTTTAGTACAAAGTAAAATAATATATACAGTCTACCTAATGCTGCAGTTTAGAGCCAAAATATCAATTATCCAGGAAGTTATGATCGATCAAAGATGGGAGCGTATACCAAAAGCAAGATGCATGGTAAAAATGACGCCACCTTTAGGGCTCGCGCCCCCACCATCCAGTGGATTCCGGGACATGCAGGGGTAGAAGGAAATGAGAGAGCCGACCAGGCAGCAAAGCGGGCAGCTAATAAGCCTCCAGGGAGAGGTCCAAGAGTGATCTCTTTGGCCTTTGCCCGCAGAGCCCGGACGGAGGCCATTACAGCACAGAAGCAGAGATGGCTCACTAGGAAACTCAGCCAACGATCCCAACAGGATCGATCAGCCCACAGGCCACAGAGGAACTGGCGGCTCGACCCCTTGGTTGCAGTAACTCCAAAACGCCTGGCAAGCCGCTATTTTCAACTGAAGTCAGGACATGCAGCCATTGGAACATATTTACACCGGATTCAGGCTCGAGAAGACGCAACCTGCCAAGGATGTGGTTCTTCAAAAGAGACAGTACGCCACCTTCTCTTTGAGTGCCGGCAATGGTGACACCAACGAAACAAGCTCTACAAGGACCTGGAGATAGATGGAGTTATGAGACCCACCGCAGCAGAAGAATATCCACAAGGACGACTTCTAGGGGAGCCCAAAGCAACTAGGGCTCTGCTACAATTCTTAGCAAACACCAGTGTAGCTCTTTCCCAGGGGCATTTACAGCAGGCGATGGAAAGAGCCCGGAAAGATGAGGAGTGGGGACTGGAAGCACTGGAGGAGCCAAGTAGAACGGGAGAAGGGTAGCAGGGAGGGTAGCCCGAGCTGAGACTCAGCTTAGGCGACACCCACCCTGCTCCAAAAAACACAAGGAGAGCACTCTGCTCAAAAGCCCTGCGCGTACAGGCGGTTTGGGGCGAGGAAAAGGACTAGAAAGATTATAGACGGGGGTCTACCTCAGGAACCCACAGGGACAAGAGACCGAAGGTCATCTGCCGGCCTCGAGTTCATGGAATATGGTCTGTCATGGAATATGGTCTGTCATAGCTTTTGGGGCTCGATATGGACAATAAACTTGATTAAATAAATAGGGCTCGCGCCATGCGACCGTGTTTTGTTCGCAAAGCTCCATCCAAATCGCAGAGTCAAAATATGACCCGCATGGACATGGATTGGCTTAGGTGGTATTGTTAGAGTTGCGGTCTGCGGGATTGTGGATCTTGCAGATCATTGTTGATAATGATATAAAGCCCTAGGTAGCGCAGAGACAATTTATGTATGGAAGTGGTTCGAGGTCACTGTCGACCTCACTGTCGCTTTGACTGGTCCATTAGCAACCTGACAACTCCGCGACAACTGATACTGAGGCAATACCGGTATTTACACAGGATAAGATGTAGCCAGGTTCCATTCGCTTGATTTCTCGCGCGAGACTAGCCACGGATTGAAGCCGTGGATTGCTTCGAGTAACGTACTCGCAATTGTATTAGGGCTTGATATTACCTGAACGCGATTAGGTGTTCTTTCGAAGGATCAACGGAGATTATATCGGGGATGAAATAGCGGCCATTGTAGGTGTCGATCTCGAATGCGCTGGTTCTGTTTCATTACGCTGGTGTCAACTGTCGCGCAGAAACCAATACGTGCTGGGGGGTATATCTTCGTTGAATTGACAAGTCTTGACTGGCTCGATCGAGGACAACGCGCTGCTGTAGTCTCTGCGTTATTCCGGGACAGAGTAGATATACCATAGCCACATAGTACTGCTGTAGCCATAGCAAGGATGCGAGACTCACCTGCGGTCTGGGCATTGAGATGCCAATAGAGATCCGGCCCACGCCCACCAATGTGGGATCGAATAAATGTGCGCGTAAACGAGCAGTGTAGAAAGGTCACTTAAACCGCGTCTTCTTTGGAGATGTGAATAAACACACCACTTTTGTTAACTGATGCCCCACATTTCCTATTCGGGGCTTCACCTTCACATCTCGAGGGCCGACGCGACAAAACAATACAACAACATCGGCATCTACAAGAGAACCACAAGAGAGCAAGCGATATGGATTCAACGGACGATTCGCGCGGCCTCTCTGGCCAATATCGCAATGACCAGAGCACCCTCAACGCCCACGGTAACTCACCAACCACCCCCAACCGCTATATCATCCCACAGCACCGTCGCGAACAGAACCCTAGAATCGCAAGTGGGCGTGCGAGCACCAATCTCTCTCCCTATCCCTCTACCGATTGCACTCCGGGCAAGCGCGCCTCCGAGCAACATGCCCAGGAGACCGAGAGGAAGGATAGCGCGGTGACCACCAGTGACAAGGATGCTGACGAGGAGGAGAAAGCCAAGGAGGAGGACTGGGTTGGACCCACAGGCGATGGCGAGGAGAGACGTACTACGGGCACCATGGATGACGACGAGGAGGCGACGACCGCCGATGAAGTGGAGGGCCTACGGGCCGAGCTTGACAAAGCGAGGGCAGAGGTCAACGAACTGGAAGGATTGAGGGCAGCCGCCGACGCCAACGCAAAGAAAGCCACCGAGGAAGCCCATATTATACGTGCGCAACTCAGCCAGGCGAAGTTGGAAAATCAAGAATCACGGCAAGAGCTGGGAAAGACAAGACTGCAGATCAAGGAGCTTGAGGAGATGGAAGAAAAAGCCAAGAATTCCTTTCTGGTCGAGGTGAATAAGGCGACGGCGGAGCTGGATAAAATGAAATTGGAGCTGCGTGGGACGAAGGCTATGTTGGAGGATGCCAATGAGAAGGTGGAGAAGGCCAAGTCAGAGGCTAAACTAGCAGAGGTAAAGAAGCAAGAACTCCAGGATCTATAGGTACAGCTTTCTGAACAATCACAGGACAGAAGCAGGGATTTAGAGGCCCAGGGGGGGAACGGGCCCATGAAGGAGCAAGCTCCAGGCCCAAGAGCAATATTTGATTTCCTCTGTTGCTCCACAGGGTATGTGTGCACCTCTGAGGATCTGCTCTCCATATTATTGACTAACAATTGCACTAGAATAAATATGATTACTGGAATCATAGAAATTTGTATCACTGCCATTTGCCTTGAAAAAGCTCATTGTGAATGGATAGGCAAGCTGTTCAAGCATGGTTTTCTGGCTCTTCTTTACGCATTGGCGAGTGGACGATGGTTCCTGATATACATCGTAAGCAATCAGAATACCCATGCGAGTATAATGGGTTGCTGACATTTACAGGGATATTGGAAATTGTGGAAATGGCCCACTTCCTGACATGTCCAGCCGAGAATGTGAGAGTGAACCTGGGTGAACGGGGTGCTGCAGGTGAACTGTTTAATGTTTCGTCTTGCTTTTCCCTATTTGATGATTCGGAGAGCAGTCCAGTCAGTTGAATTTGTCACAGGCTGCGCCTGTCGCATAAGCGATATGTTTAAGTCGGGTGGAGAGGCTATCGGACGGAGAAATTATCGGAAGAACTATTTACCCTGCACTGTGCGCGCATGTATATAGAGCCGCCTGACCGGGCACCACTCAAGGGATTCTAATCGTATACTAGAAGTTCAGACAGCATTATAGATTGACACAAGTTCAGAGTAGACAAAACTATACATCCTTCAGGCACGATGGCGCCTGTCACTCGCCTTTTGGCCAGAGACCACGCCTCAGACACGCCCCAGCAACAGGACGACAGCCTGATCCATGGCACAGCCAAATCCGCGAAGATTCGCAAACGTTCGAAACCGGAGAAACCAGATAAACAGAACACAGCTCCAGGACTTGAACACCTACAGGTAACAGGCCTTGGAAGCTGACAATCAGAGAGAGACACCCCCAGCAGAGAGCATTCCAGACAATCTGGACACTGCACCGCCTGCCTTGCCGCTGTTGGACAGGGACATAGAGATGATAGACCAGACTCTGTCAGCCCTGCCAGAGCCTCAGATCCTGGATACACAACTGAATCATGGGCTCACAAGCCATGTCGGTACTCTCCTACAAGCCCGGGCTAGCAAAGAAAAGCAAGAGGATAAGGAAATACTAGAGATTTTAAGTCTACTTGACAAAAAAGTCTCCTCCATGAAGCAAGAGAAACTTCCCAGAGCCTGTTCCTTTAGTGAAGCTCTTCACACCTTTGTGTGCAACTACTTCACCCAACACAGTCCTAGCACAACTGTCCAGGATCAGCACCCTATATCTCTGCCAGCCCCAGCTGGACCCGTTTCATATGCAACCGCTTTCAAAGCGTCCAACCCAGAAACAAAAACCACAAAAAAAGCCCATACAGCACCCACAAAGCCAGAATTAGGAGCGGCCATGGTGACTTTGCAGAGTACCATGAGCGCTTCAAACATGATGATGCCTTATTAACCTGCTCATGTGGCCAGAGAAAAGAGCCCTCTCACTTCTATTTCTGCTGGGAAGGTTGCAAAGCAGCAGCACACCCTTGGGGCTGACAACCAGTAGCAGACATCCTCAGCAAAAAGACAGGATTCACTGCATACGCGGACTGGCTGGGAAAATCCCAATTTTACACAGCCATCTGCAGACGCCATTTGTCACGGAGCTCAGCTAGGATAATGGAACTTCAACTCATGTGTTGTACCTAGGTAGCTATCGACGAGAATTATCAACATGAGGAAAGAAGAAAAGGGGGAAAGAAGGGAATGCTGCTATCAACAACAAAGCAAGCAACATCGCTACACGTGATAGTCAACCCACGTGACCAGGCCGTCACACCATTAGGATGCTAAATGCATCAAATCTGGGAAACCCCGAGCGAGTACGCTGGGTAATTGCTTTCGTCAAGCAGTTAGGACGATGGATTTCTACCTTCTCGTGGTGTCCGGTGTCAGTACCCTCTCATTTTGGGGAGAGGAAGCCGAAAGAATCCAAAGTGGTGCGGGCGGCTGCCGACATGCAGAATTTTCACCTGCTCGAACAGCAGCCACCCAACCCACACCATCAGAGGATAACGGGTTATGAAAACCATCCGACAACTGTCTACTCGATTCGTACTCGAGACCGAAACTGGGCTTGTTTTTCCAGCGGATGTGGTATCGCCTAGACAGGAGACAGGACACCTCTGGGCTTGAACACTCTCTGAGATCGCGCGACACCCCCATGAAAACTTTGAACAAATTGTTCCAATACATACATATGTATAACTCTGTCAAGCGGCGAGGGAGGATACAACTGGTAGAGCAGTGGGTTGTGCAAGTCACTTGGGAGCGCCACGGAATGGCCTGGGCCCAGGATCTCGTTAAGGCGCAGCCACGGGTAACCCTGACCAGGACATCCCATGGCCTCTTACAAGCGGGGTGCACGACCTAGCGACGATCCTCGACGAGCTTGTTAAGGCACAGCCACAGGTGATCGGGAGGACTGCGAAACCGGGGACACAAGCTTGGTTAGTGAAGGACGGTCGGGGTATCCTGCAGGGTCAGTGGGGGTACTTTCAGGCTGCTTTTGCGAGACACGGTCGGCTGGCAGAGAGAGATCTTGGCTGGTAACGCGAAGCAGGGAGACTTCTCCTTGTGGGGCGTGGCACATAATGGCAGTGACGGACGAGCTGTGAGGACTCGACGAGACTGTCTATGTGGCCCGAGAGGACGGACGCGCGTGTCGGTGTGCAAAAGAGACGGAAATCAGCTACCTCACTCGCACTGAGGACCTGAAGTCTAACAGCCAAAGTGGTGTCGTCCTAGTGGAGAAGGTTCTACCTTTCTTCACTATCTCACTCGCACTGAGAACCTGCGGCTGGGTGATGGATGTGATGTCGTTCTAGCTGAAATGCCGGTGATGCATGCTTAAGGAGCAAACCTGGAGACGCCTGGGGTGAGAGGTTTTTTGGCGGGGCCTCAATATCTGGAAGTCATTCATCGAGAGATGGGCGCACTGAAAACCAGGGCAGTGGCCTGAACAAGCAGGCCTGGTGAAGCTGCTTTACACCAGTTGCAAGAACTCGTTAAGGCTTGGCCACGGGCAACCTTGGCTGTGTAGTCATGTCTCTTGGTCCCACCTGTTCAATCCAAACCCCTGAGGGCACAGTGGAGATTAAACCTCCCCAACTCAATGAGGCCACACGATGGCTGGGAATTTGGTTTGACCGGAGATTAAAATTCAGAATACACGTGCAGACACTGGCAGCCAAGGCCAAACTGGCAGCCAACGGCATCCAAGCCCTTGCCAACACAGTACGAGGGGTCAAAGCTCCCCTACTGAGGCAGGCAACAATTGCCTGTGTGGTCCCAGTCCTTTGCTATGGAGCCGAGGCATGGTGGCCAGGGCGGAGAAGATCAAGACAGGATCTCTCAGGCAGACAGAAACTCATCTCCAATGGGGTGGCTGCCCAGCTAGCCTGTCTGGACCGGGTACTCCGCAATGCGCTCCTAGGAACTCTCCCAGTTTACAGGACCACCCGAACAGCCGTGCTGCACTGGGAGTCAGCTATACCGCCCATGGAACTACTCCTTGACCAGAGACGACGGAGCCTGGCCATCAGAGTCCATCAATTAGACACCCAACACCCTCTGCACCTCCGGGTCACACATCAGCCATCCCAGTACATCAGCACCCGCCTACTCCGGGCGGTGGACCTCAAAAACTTCCACCTCATTGAACAAGTGGACCCACTTCTGTCGAGCCCCTGGGATTCAAACCCAGAGCCCAAAGAGCAGTCAGCCACAACCACAAAGATACAGGCCAGGGATGCCTTTCAAAGGTGGCTGGCCTGCATTCCACCACTATCAACGGTAGTCTACACAGATGGGTCCAAAGGAAAGGACAGCAGTGCCGCAGGCGCCGGCTGGGTGGGCTACTGCGGAACCAGCAAGGCCAAAATCTTCAGTGGACATGCGAGGCTCCCCAACCATGAGGTCTTTGATGCAGAGGCTCGAGCGGCCCTGCTAGGCCTACAGGCGGCCCTTAAGGATCCCAAAGCCCAACATTCCACAAACATATATATCTGCCTGGACAACTTGGAAGCAGTACAGCAACTCCAAGGCCAGCCCAAAGGATCAAGTCAACCAATTTTCATGAACTTTCAAGAAGCCGCACAGACATGGCCACAACACCCTAGAGCACCCGGCATACAGTCAGGCACAGTACAGGTGAAATGGGTTCCTGGACATACAGGCATTGAAGGAAACGAAGAAGCAGATAAGGAGGCCAAGATGGGCTGCCATGCTCCCCTGGAACTCCCTCCTCCACCTGCCTCAATAGCAGCCGCCAAGCGGGCAGCCCAGAGGGTGTACTGGCAATGCTTTGCGCAATTCTGAGCAGAAAAGGCCCCTGAACGCTATAAGAACCTTGGCATAAACATAGAGAAACGGCCACCAGAGCTCCAGCTCCCCCGAGCAGCTCTGGGTCGCCTCCTAGCCGCCAGGAGCGGTCATGGTGATTTTGCCGAGTACCATGAGCGCTTCAAACACGACAATGCCCTGCTGACATGCTCATGTGGCCGCAGAAAGGAGCCCTCCCACTTCTATTTCTGCCGAGATGGTCGCAAAGCAGCAGCACACCCATGGGGCCAACAACCAGTAGTGGACATCCTCACCAAAAAGGCCGGGTTCACCGCATATGCAGATTGGCTGGGTAGATCACAATTCTATACTGCCATCTGTAAACGCCATTAGGATGCTAAATGCATCAAAGCTGGGAACCTCTAGGCTTACCTCCGGTTCCCTCCTCTCCTTCCCTCCTCTTTCCCCTCTTCCCCTTTCTCACCCCCCTCCTCCTTTCTTCTCTCTCACTTCTCCTGTTCTCGGTTTTCGTATCAAGAAAACCCCAAGATGCTCAGCTTGCTTTGAACAGCTGTGAAAACCCAAGCAGCTCCCCGCGCGGGGGGCTACCTGTATTTAGATGATAGATGATAGCTTAGCTAGGTGATAGGCAGTTCCGATCTGCCCGTCGTATGTCCCGAACCGGGACCAGGGATTCCCCGCTTCCGCCTCCAAGGAAGCGTGGAAATACCCGATCCTCGACGTAAAATAGAAACACACACACACACACACACACCCGACCGGGCATTCGTTCCTCTAGTCTTCTTTAACGAAATCTTTTGTGCCAAAGCTAGTCATTAGCATCTCTGGGCCTAGCCCATTACAGAATTGAGTTGAAAAACTACCCATCTGTAGAATGAATGAATGATCAATAACCCTCTCTCCCCTGTTGTAAGATGTGAGTCAGGCTATGGCAAGGAAAGGCATTGACGATACTATTGTACTCGTAGCTGTCTAGATGGATGAGGGTGGATCTCCTCTATCCGGCATGTGTGTGGGCTCGCTAGTGCGGGCCAATCAGGAGCGGGGCATATTGGAGTCTGAGGCTCTCAAACATAAGAGCGTAATACATAGATATGTTGCGGGCCGCTCCGTCGCATTCCTTGGAGGCTTGACATCCACGAGCTTTTCCTTTTCGGCTATGAGTATTCCCCAGAGAGCTGAGAGAGCGAGAGAGTTGGGCACATATTTATGCTACCCTATATAACCTACTCCATACTCCGTACCTTGGTTCATGAATGACTAAGAATACGTTACGGGAAGCGGTGAGTTGGGGCAAAATATGGGATCGTCAATTCGTACGGAGTACAGAGTACTGTTGATCCCTTCAGTTCTCACTCTAGAGCCTCTTTAATCACAGGTATCAACCTTGCGCCACTGCGGTGTCCAGGAGGAGATTCCTGACAGAAAACGCTGTCTATCCTTCTCTCTCTTAACCTTCTTGCTCCACTCAGCGCACTTGAGGCTCTTAGCTGTCCTGATTCAACTTTCGACACGACCACAGTTAATCTGGACGACCTCAAGAAAAATTCCTTGGAGATGGCTATTGAAGAGAACATGCTCAAAGTTTATCCCCAAGACAAGGTACTCCGAGTTTTCGTTAAACCTATCGTGGAATACCCTATCTCGTATGTTCTGCTCCAAAGTGCTCTGCGTTCTTGCGGTTTTGCTAATTCATTGACTCAGAGTTACAGTGTTGTATCTCACTGTTGGCTTTGGATGGATACACAGGTGCGCCATGACACGTTGTGATAATGTCTGTGTGCGTGGATCTATCATCGGAATGGCAGCCACCGTACTTTGGATGATTTTCGTTGCGGTTTATACTTCACATCTGAAATCTAAGTATCGAAGGATGTTGGAGGAGCAGGCTACAGCTGATGCGAAGTCGCAAGCTAAGGCCAAGGTGGAGTCGCAGTCTAAGACAAAGGAGACGTTCCGGGAGTTGCAGGGGTTGCGGAGGTCGCAGAAGTTGGAGGCTACAGTCGATGCCGATAAATAGATGGACAGTTGGCCAGAGGGAGAGGAGGGAAGATGGGGTGTGATCGGGGGTTGACTCTATCTATACTCCTCGAGAGGTATCATCGCTTAGCTGTTTGTCAGACATGCAGAGCATTGACAAACCAAAATGGAACTAATATCGTATGATTGCTGTGGGAAAGTCAGAGATGTCCCTGATATCCTTTGATAATCTCTTTCTATTCTTTTCTACATCAACTGTGATATACCATCATTGCTTCTCCCGGGCTTTTCGTATCAATAATCGAAATGTGGCTTGAGTTTCCTTTCAGGACTGATTTACCATGATAGATTGGATCTAGCTGCTGAAGGATTGAATTTCTGGGTGTACCTCTTGAGTACACGCCCATTGCCATCGTTTTATTCCACTTCTCGTAAGATCCTCAAGATAGGCTGACCACTTGTTGTGGTAGGCGGCAGCTGGTCTTCTGGAGAACTCTGCGATTCACGGGACTGTGGATGGCAGCTCGCATTTCCGTTTCATTGTTGGCCAAGATGTATAGTCCCAGGTAAAGCAGAGAAAACTTATCTCTGGAAGTGATTTGGATATCCTGTTAATCTCATGGCTACTTTGACTGAGCTATTGCCTGATCACAACCACTACAAGCCGAGTTCTCGATAACTGAATATCAGACTAAACCCATGCGGGCCCAATTCGCAGACTATCTGGGCTTGTTTCAGCCTTCCATATGTCCATTTGGTAAATCCGGTAATCCTGCGGCACCTGTAGACGGTGTCTAGGTATTTCTGGTTGAGTTTCACTGCCTCATTTTGTTTCGTTACGTGGCAGGATCTTACGTGGTCAAGTTCCGTTCGCTTTGGCTCGGATACAAGAACGGCCGCGGACGGAAGCCGTGGATGGCTTTGAGTAACGTAATTGGGATTCTACGAGGGCTTGATATCATCCGGAGTGCCGAATATATTTGTTCTGGAACAAACTCCCCCGCGGCATACCCCCCCCTACCATTGAGGCGGGTTCCAGCTGTAACCGGCAGTGGTTATATACTATTTAAATATGAGAGAAATCGATTGAGCCTAATTTCAAGGCGATATTCGCACGAAGTCATGGGAGAGAGCGGTATTAACGTCGCGGAAGGTGGTGAAAATGGCCACTGAGGCAGCTCACCGCCTGTCACAGGCTGCGCCTGTCGCATAAGCGATATATTTAGTTGGGCGGAGAGGCTATCGGACGGAGGGGTTATCGGAGGAACTATTTACCCGCACTGCGCGCACATGTATTTAGAGCCGCCCGACTGGGCATTCGAATACTTTTGACCGGGCACTGTACAGTGGGAGGCAAAAAGTTTTCGACCACCTGGATACTGCCAACTATGACCGCTCACTATCAACCAATGATATTTAATTATTCTGCCAGTGCAAAATTCCGGTGTACTGTACATAGGGCGATAGATTAGATCATATCAGATAACGGAGATAATTATCAAAAAAGAAGCGGTATCTCCGGGACTTCTGCATCCAGTAATTCCGACTCGCGTCTCCCACCTCCGGCCATATCTTATTCTTCCTCTTCAAACAACCACAACACGAATACATTCAATTTATATCTGGATATCCGAGAAAACTGCAATGGAACCCCCTCGTCGCCGCAGACCTCCTCTCTCCTGCACAATCTGCAGACGCCGCAAGCTCAAATGCGACAGGTCCATGCCGTGCGCGCAATGCGTCAAGTCCAAAATGCCAGACCAGTGCTCGTACGCTGCGTACGTGAGTCAATGGAGAGACGCAGATGTACGTGACGAGCGGTTGGAAAGTACTCCGCCCGTGCCAGCTACTAGCAGCGCTGGTAATAACGCGTCGCTTTCCAGCGGGATGCATGTGTTTGACTCGCGGAATCGAGTCACTAAGCCGGCTTCGCGGCAGGATGAGATGCAGGAGCTGCGCGGGAGGGTGAAAGCGTTAGAACATGCGATTGTCAGACAGGGCGCGCCTATTAACACACCCGATACTCTAGGTGATCTGTCGGACGCGGGACGGCCGGATGGTGTTGCTGAGGTTGTTGATTCGTTGCCGGATCAGTGTTTTCGGGGCTCGAATGGCGGGACGAGATATGTTGGTCGGTCGAATTACGCGTTGTTCATGTCGTTGGTAAGTTTTCGTCTTGTGTTTGGCGAGCCGGGCTAAACCCAGGCAGTTCCCACATGTCGGTGGTTTCTTGCACCGTGAGTCCAAGAATAAAAACCCCGAGCAGAGAGGTGATATGGACAAACTTAAGCACCAAATGTGGTCGCGAGAGCGACAGAATCACCAGCGTACGTATCGCGACCATGCGTTCCGGCTAGAGGAAATGGTCCCTGCTCGGCCGTTTGCAGACCAGCTGGTGCACTTGTATTTATCGACGTTTGAAACTACGCATCGGATTTTGCACTATCAGACGTTTATGCGGCAGTATGAGGCATATTGGGTGGGCCAAATGAATGCAGACACGGTATTCCTAGCTAAACTGCTGGCTGTGATGGCCGTTGGCAGCAGCTTTTACCCTCCGGAAGCCAAGCCGACAGGAATAGAGTCTATGCACCAGACCACGAGCCGATGGATTATGGCTGTCCAGTCTTGGGTTACGTCTGTGTTTGTGGGTGCCAATATCAATTACGACCTCCTCCAGGTTCGATGCCTCTTGATGCTTGCGCGACAGATAGATGCGACAGACGGGGATATCACCTGGATTGCATCGGGATCTTTAACAAGGTCTGCGCTGACGATGGGTTTACATCGGAACCCACGACGCTTTCGTCATTCTAAATTTTGGGGTGAGATGCGTCGTCGTCTGTGGGCTACGGTCATGGAACTGGATTTACAATCATCTGCGGACGGGGGCATGCGACCGTCCATCGACCTGGAAGAATGCGACTGCGATGCACCGTCGAACTTGGATGATTCCGACCTGGAGGAGGACATGGCAGAAGATCCTGCACCGAAGGCTGGTGTCTCTGATGGATACTTTCAAGCCGTGTTGTCTCGGTCGCTGCCGGTGCGAACCAAGGTTATGGAGATGGTCAACAGTTTGAAGTTCACGCTCACATACGACGAAGCCTTGCGCATGAGTGATATGTTAGTCCGACACATGGAGGAGGGATTGGCTGCATTCGAACATGGCAGTGGGATGACATTTGCCAAGTCGCTTTATTCATTTACAATGCGACGATATCTACTCATCCTACATCGACCGTTTTATTTTTCAGTACTGCAATCCCCGAAACACACTTATTCCCGGAAAATCTGCCTAGAGTTGTCGCTGCACATTCTCTCGATGCTCGAGGAGGATGTACCTCATGCGCACATGCGGGACCTGGCACCTAACATGTTCCGACACGAATTTTTTTACGCAGCTATTACTGTCTGCGCGGAATTACAGCTACAAATGGAGGAGACACCCGGCAGCCAATTGACAGATCTCGTACGGTCGCAACAATCCGTGATGATGCGGGCGGTTGAACGGATGATCCAAGCTTTGCAATCGCGAATCTATCCTAACGGTAAAGGAGACAAAGCGTATATTTTCCTCGGTTTAGTCTTTGCATCGGTTAAAGCAAAGTTGAATGGGGAAGATGTGCATGTTGCGATTGGACGGGCATCGGAGGAGGTGCTCTCGGCTTGCAAGGCGATGCTGAACTTTGTAGAGGACCGTGATAGGGTAGGTATCCTGATTTCCCCAGAAGTAAAAGATGCTAATTTTCAGACCCCGTCTGTATTCGACCCGGTCCATGTGTTTCCGATGGATTTCAGCGGTCTTTCAGTATGTACCCCGAGGTGTCCCAATAAAGTATTCAGTATGCTGACGCTACAGGCACTTGATTTTGGGACACTGTTTGATTTGCCCGACGGACCGGAATGGGATGGACTGGTTTCCGGGAATTGATTTGAGTTGTTCAGCTGAAAGCAGGTTTGTTATTAATGCCGATCACCGAGGTACGGGGTATAAACAGTCGATCCCCCTCATCAACACGTCTCCGTCTTGTACGAAATCCGAATTCACGACAACCTCCAATTGAACAACATGTCGTAAGTACTCATTCTAAATACATTAGAACGCAATGCTAACAACATAGGACCATCCTAACCACCCTCGGCCTCCGCGCCGCTTCCGGCCAACAACCCCCCAACCACGCGGCGGGCTACCTCGTCGCCAACTTCGTCCTCGCCTACGCCCTCCTGAGCACTCGCGGCGGTAAGATTCGTCACGGACTCGACCACAATGTCTCGCCCCGCGAAGATCTGAGCAAATACGGCGAGGCTGCCGTGCAGGCTGGTAAATTGAGCCGGACGACGCTGAACCGGTTGAAGAGACAGGAAGCCGCGCATGCCAACGCTGTCGAGGGTTTCCCGTTTTTCGTTGCTGGCAGTATGTCCTTTCCCTCTCTAATTATTCTAAACACAATTACTAATAATGTGCAGTCCTCCTGGCGGTGCAGGCCGGCGTCCCCAGCGAAACAATCAACACCATCGGCGCATGGTACACCCTGTCCCGCGTCGCATACGGCCTCGCCTATGTCTTCATCGAGTCCGAGACATTGAGTTTCATCCGGTCGCTGCTGTGGTGGTCGGGCAATTCGGCCTGTATCACCGCGTTGGTGTTTGCCGGGAAGAGGCTGTAACCGCTGATCCACTACGTACAAGTACTGTGCACGAAGAGTTAGCGGCACGTTAGGAATAGTATGACGATGTACAGAATATAATTGATTACGAATTCTACAAGTAATAAGTGAGCCCTGATTCGCCCTCGCACACCGGGGTACACGCCGCGAGGACCCTGCTGTAGTACCTTGGAGACTGAATTCACCAATTAGATCTCCGAAATTCTAAGCACGACAACCCTAGTCTACAAACAACCCATAGAAACATACATTCCTACGCATGAACTGGAGACAGCATACCTTGGAGGAAGCCCCCAAGGTATCTCTCTGTAGACAGGGTATATAACAAGCAAACCGTAGCAAAAGAACCGAATCCTGTAACTTTTTTTTTCCAAACCCCAAGAACTCAAGACAAGCAAGCAAGATGGTCATTAACTCCGGCACAGATACCCTCTCGTACCCTGTCCAGCAACCCGTGCATCAGGTTGCGGACAAGAAGAACGGGGAGAAGAGGGCTTTGCCTGTTACGCTTCTTTCGGGGTTTTTGGTGAGTATCTTATACACGGTATGTGTGAGGGCATGTTAACGGAAACGAAACAGGGAAGCGGCAAGACAACACTCCTCGAGCATATTCTTAAATCACCAGACCATGGTCTGCGAATTGCTGTCATTGTTAATGACATGAGTCGGTAAGCCACTCTCCCCCATCAACCCTACCAACCCATCTAACCCCAACAGCCTAAACATAGACGCAACCCTAATAACCCACCACCACGTAACCCGCACCAAAGAAAAACTCATCCAACTCCAAAACGGCTGTATATGCTGTACCCTCCGCGGAGACCTGTTAGCCGAACTCGCCCGGTTAGCGCAAAAGAACGACGTGCAATATGTTGTTATTGAGAGTACGGGGATTAGCGAGCCGATGCAGGTTGCGGAGACGTTTACAACGGAATTCGGGGCTGTGTTTGATCAGGAGGAGTTGGGGGAGTTGAGTGAGGAGGATAAGAAGGTTTTGGTTGATGTGTACGCCCTCCCCACTACCGTGTATTTGGATGCGTGTGGATGTATACTGACAGAGGACTTCTGGTAAAGTAAGAAGAATGGGTTGCATACAATGGCCCGTCTCGACACAACAGTCACCGTCCTGGACGCATTCAACATCTACGCCAACCTCGACACAGCAGATTTCCTCTCAGACCGCTACGGCGATGCCATCGTCCCCGAAGACGAGCGCACAATCTCAGACCTCCTAGTCGATCAGATCGAGTTCGCAGACGTCCTCGTCATCAACAAAACGGATATGATTGATCCTCCTCGTCTCGCTAGGATAAAACATCTCCTTACACTCCTGAATCCTAATGCCAAGGTGCTGGAGAGTAAGTACTCGAAGGTTGATGTGAAGGAGATCATCAAGACGGGACGGTTTGATTTCCTGAAGGCTGCTAGTGGGGCTGGGTGGTTGAGGAGTTTGCATGAGATGACTTTGCAGAATACGGGGAATGGGGAGAGGATGGCGCCGAAGCCGGAGACCCTCGAGTATGTTCCTTCCTCTCTCCTGGTATACAGGCTGAGGCGTTTGCTAACTGTGATATGTGTGTAGGTATGGGATTAATAACTTCGTGTACTCGGCGAGACGCCCGTTTAATCCCCGGAAACTGTGGGATTTGCTGCATAACAAGTTCATCCTCCTTCAGCATGGCGATGGCGAAGAAGGAGAAGATGATGATGAAGACGAGGAAGACGACAACGACAAAGGTGATGACAAAATGGACGAAGATGAAGATGAAACCTCAGAAACCTCCGACGCCTCCGACGAAGAAAGCGAAATCGTAATCGACCCCGACGAAGCCCTCCAAAACAAACGCAACCACCCCGCCTTCTCCCCCCTCCTCCGCAGCAAAGGCTTCTTCTGGCTCGCATCCCGCCCCTTCCAATCAGGCGAATGGTCCCAAGCCGGTGCCATCCTGACCATTTCCTGTGGCGGGAAGTGGTTTGCCGAAGAGGATCCGGCCAATTGGCCTGAGGACCCTGACGTCCGCAAGTCCATTGAGAATGACTTTGATGGACGGTGGGGAGATAGAAGACAGGAGATTGTGATGATTGGGGAGGGGATTGATACGGAGAAGGTCACGGAGGTGTTTGATCAGTGTTTGTTGGATGATGAGGAGATGGAGCAGTGGAAGGGTGTTATGGAGGGTGATGGGTCGAGGGAGGACAAGGAAGATGCTATGATGGATATTTGGGAGGATGGGTTTGAAGGGTGGAATGAGGCCGAGGAAGATGAACATATGCATTGATTGTATTTCCAAAAGTTCATGTACATTCATATTCATATTGATGTTGACATTCACAAGTATAATAAGCATGCATCATAACATTACCATTCATCAACCCTCTCCATAGCCAAATGCATCCCCTCCACGGGCTTCGTAGTCACAGCCCCAGCAATATGAATCTCCTGCTTAGGATCCTGCATCCGAAACCCAAACCGCCCAACAACACCCGCCATAGCACACCGCAGCTCCGCCCTCGCAAAATCCTTCCCAATACAACTCCTCTGCCCATGCAAGAACGTAATCTGCGCGAAATTCGTCCCCGCCCCACCATGCTGATTCGGCGTCTGCTTCCCACTCTCAGGATCCGTATCAATCCATCTCTCCGGCAAGAAATCGTCCCCCGTGGGTCCCCAGAACTCCGGACTCCGGTTTATAGCGTACGGGCAAAGGATGAGCCTCGTGCCTTTGGGGACGGGTTTGTTGGCGACGATGGTGTCGCGGACGGATTCGCGGATTGTCACTGGGACGGTTGGGTAGAGGCGGAGGACTTCTTGGCAGATGCCATTCAATAAAGGCATAGATTCGAGGTCGGACCAGGTTATTGGGGCGCTGCCGGAGGGGATGCGGGCACGAATTTCGGCGCGGAGGCGGTCTTGGTATTGTGGGTGGAGGGTGAGGAGGTAGCAACCCCAAGTCAGGGCGCTGGCTGTTGTTTCGTGCTGGTCCTGTTAGCGATTGTAAGGGTATAGGGGGTGTAGAGAGACGTACGCCAGCAGCGAGGAAGGTCAACATCTGGTCGACCAACTCGTCGTCGGTGAAATCACCGCCCATCATCATCGTTCCCAGAATATCGGCTTCCAGCTCTTTGGCTGTCGCTCCAGAGGCCACAATAGCTGCCCTTTTCTCCTGGACAATTTCATTGCAGAGATCGCGCAGGAATCCAGTCTCGTTGTCAACAACCTCATTCAAAGACCATGGCAGACGCTTGGCAAACCATTGCGGCAGCACAAAGTTGACCGCCAGGAAAGCCATCTTCTCGCGCGTCGGCTCCAGAATCGCACTAAAACTATCGGCCACCTTATTCTCAGGATTATGCAGCGACCGAAAGTCACGTCCCATAGCAGCCGGACCGATGATATCAAGCGTAAGTCGACTAGCCCAGATACTCAATTCGATCTTGCCCATGCTAGACACCTCCTCGAACGGATTGCGCTGGAGTTCCGACTCCATCTCATCCAAGAGCAGACCAGTCTTCTCCCACATCAATCCGTATAACGCGCGAATATTCTTAATATTAAAAGCCGGAGTCAGCGCCCGGCGCTGCTTGCGATGCGCCTGTCCCTCACTCAGAATGAGCCCGAACCCGATGATCCGCGCGAGAAAGTCGCGCGCACGCCATGGCTTTTCGAAATCATACGTCCGCGAGGACATCACATCCAGCAACGCCTGGTGGTTCGTAACGAGCAGCATGGACTGCGAAAAGACATTGCGGAAGTGGATGAGGCCCTCGTTGGGGACTGTTCGGATCCATTCGAGGGGGATGCGGCCGCGGGGGTTGTCGAAGATGATTTTTACATGCGGGCGGCCCGGGATGGTGGGGAGATGGCGGAGGGGGTTGAGGAAGTAAGGGTAGATTAAGAGTCGGTAGAAGGCGTAGAGGAGGACATTGAGGCAGAGAGAGGTGAAGACGGTGGTGCGGAAGTGGTATTCGGGGAAGAAGTGTTGGACAATGTAACCTTGGACGATGGCCAGGCCGGTCAGATGGAGCATTTTCACAGAAGAGTATATAGATTGAGAGTTGCCCCGTGCAATAGATATTCAGTAGAGACAATCATACTCCAGGCAGCTAATATATCCACGGAGATCAATGCATATTCATCCAGAGGCTCAAATATTCGGCTCGCAACCCCATCATTGAGATCTTCAATTCGCAACGATTTCCCCATCGGGTAATAACTCAAACCCCAGCCATACCCCAACCATATCAACTCCATGTGAGCCGAGGACATCTTATTCCGGAGACTTATAAGTGATCCATCATCCAGTGCAATATACGCAAATTAATCACAAGCACGAATTACATTGACAAAGACCGAAATGGACCAATTCAAAGAACTCGCAGCCCACCCCCAGGTCCAGCAGGTGCTTCAATCGCCACTGGCCCAGAACTCCCTGGCCGCGATTCTGGCCCTGGGTTTCTTGAGATATACCAATCGCACGCTGTCTAAATGGAGTCTGAACAATTGGAATTCGGACTCCTGGCAGGGTGAGAAGGAGCTGGTTCTGCTCACCGGGGGTACTGGCGGTATTGGCCGTCAGGTCATGGAGGATCTATCGCAGGCGGGTGCTAGAGTGGTTATTGTGGATATCAAGGAGCCTGAATTCAAGCTGCGTATGTTCCCTATTCCAAAATGAAAGAACGAAGCTAACAAAACAGCCAAAAACGTGTTCTTCTACATCTGCGACATCACAAATTCATCCAGCCTCAAGACCGTGGGAGACAAAATCCGTCAGGCACACGGAGAACCCACGGTCCTCGTCAACAACGCCGGTGTAGGCCATGACGGGACCATCCTCGAGGAACCCGAGGACAAGATCCGGCAGACCTTCGAGGTCAACACGGTCTCGCACTTCATGACTGTCCGAGAGTTCCTCCCGGACATGATCAAGAAGAACCACGGCCATGTGATTACGGTTGCTAGTATGGCTAGTTTTATGGCATTGGGTGAGATGGTGGATTACTGTTGCACCAAGTCTAGTGCGCTGGCGTTCCATGAGGGGTTGAGACAGGAGTTGAAGTTTTGGTACCATGCCCCCAAGGTTCGGACCAGGTGAGTCTTCCAAATACAGTTTGTTTAAACACGGTTCATACTAACGCACGCAGTGTGATTCACCCCCTCTGGGTGCGCACAGCCATGATTAAGCAGCTCACCGACGCCGGTGACCAATTCAATCAGCCGGTGTTGACACCCCAGACCGTGTCAGCGGCAGTCGTCAAGCAGATCCTGACACAGAGCAGTGGCCAGGTTATCCTGCCCTCGCGGCTGGCTCACTATTCGCTGGTTAGAGCGTTTCCGTCATGGATGCAGGAGGCTGCTCGGGGGATTGGATCGGGGATTTTGCGGAAGTTGCGCAAATGGGAACAAAGTGAGCAATGATTTAGTTATGTATTGTTATGTATGATTTGTATGATTATTCCGATTCTGTATGTGAATATCATCTTGTGTACTGAATATGCCTTATGCACTGGTATCATTTCCTATGTACTTAATCATGAGCATAAATACTACTATGACCGATGCGCTACTACGCCTTCCCGATGCACTCCCCCAAAAACACCTTAACCTCCCTCCCCTGCTCCGTCTCCGTCCCCTCCCCAACATACAAATGATAAACCGGCGCGACATGACACTCCCTCTCCCCAACGACAAATTCCACCTTCCTCCCCGCCTTCATCTTATCCACCAAATCCTCCAACAACGGAAGCATAATCTCCGTGCCCCCCGCACAAACAAGCATCCGCTCCACCGGAAAATCCGCATACCACTCCGTCGGCGCCCGCGACAGATCCGTGTAAAAGTCTCGTGCCGCCGAACCAAGGTACCCCCCTGCCCAGGGGCCCGCTACATACTCGGTGACAATGTCGCCCCGAGAATCGATGGTTTGGTCGGGGAATTCGCTGTCCAGCGATGTCCAGGGGCTTAGCATTATGGTGCCCTTTATTTGGGCGCCGGAGAGGTTGATGGGTTTGATTTCGGGGTGGGTGTGCGCGAGATGCGAGAGCACCCCGCCGACAAGGTTTCCACCGGCGGAATCGCCACCTAATAACACCTTCTCTGGTGTATGGGTTTCCAACACATGGCGTAGACAGTCGACTGCTTGGCGGAGTTGGGTTGGGTACTGCGCGTGCGGAGCGAGCGTATAACTCAGACAGAACACAGATAGCGAGTTTGGCTGCGATTTATTCGCGTCGGCCAGCAGTCGCGCGAAAAATTTAAAGTAGCCTCTGTTTGCTGGGAGCCCGAAGCCGCCGCCGTGGTACCAGATAAGCACATGCGAGGCGTCAGGGGATCCGATCCAGTGACTGTAAGCACCGGATTCTAGGGAGACGGTGCGCGGTGGTTGTTTAGTTTTGGTCATGTACTTGTTGTACATTGCGCTTGTAGAGGGGGACACCCATCTATTCTAGTTAACATACTCCGTACTTTGTACATAGTATACTTATTCATAGGTTTGTAGGGACGCACTGCATCTGCAACGGCGATAGTCGCCGGGTAACCTTTCGCAAGACTGCGTAACATATATGCAAGTACCACGTCTTAGCTCGGCGTTGGAATAAGCCGGTTAGCGCGGCGAAGATAATAGTCAGCCAGACTGATGCGATGGCTGGGATCAGGTCTAGTTTCTGCCGGAGGGTGATTTGTGTCATTGTCGCACATTGTGTTGTACAGAACAAGGAAGGGGGGGGGACATCAGACTACAAGTACAAATACATACGGGCTTGCGAGCATCGCAAACACTTCCCAAAGAAAGAACCTCGGTCTAGGAACAGTTAGCAGTCCGAGGTCAGATCTCTCATCTGATCTGAATATGAATCTCGAAATTGAATAGCATCGTGAATACCGCATTAGGAAAGTCGGCTGCCATGAACCGTGGATCGGCAAGTGGCCGTTGATTGGCCAATCTTTGCTATTTTCCGCAATCCTTGCGAGCATCTTTCAAGTATATTACTTGCGTCTTTCTCTTTCCTAAACACTACAATGTCAAACCCTCTAGTCAACATGACAGACACACAGACCACAGATGTTGTCATTATTGGCGCCGGTATCTCCGGCATCAACGCCGCATATCGCGTTCAATCTGCTTTCCCTAACCATTCTTACGCCCTTCTTGAAGCCCGCGATAATCTCGGTGGGACGTGGGATCTTTTTCGCTACCCCGGTATCCGCTCCGACTCAGATTTGTTTACTTTTGGCTTCGCATGGCATCCCTGGCATCAGGATAACCCGATCGCCACCGGCGAATCGATAGCAAAGTACCTGCGCGACACCGCAGACGAATACAAAATCACACCGCACATCCACTTCCAACACAAAGTCCTCGCCGCAGACTGGTCTTCCAAGGAAAACCTCTGGTCGCTTACAGTCGAGCACGATGGCAAGACCAAGACCATGAATGCGCGGTTTATCGTCTGGGGCACAGGCTACTACGACTACAACCAACCCCTGCACTCACCCATCCCGGGCCTGGATAACTTCCGCGGCCAGCTCATCCACCCTCAATTCTGGCCCGAAGACCTCGACTATACCGATAAGAATATCGCAATCGTCGGCTCCGGCGCAACAGCTGTGACCCTGCTCCCGAACCTGGCCGAAAAAGCCCGCCTCTGCACCATGGTCCAGCGCTCCCCGACATACATCCTCTCCCTCCCGAACCGCAATACATCCATCTGGTCATACTTCCTGCCCTCTTCATGGTCGCGCAAAATGCAGCGGATTTCATGGATCTGGACATCCCGCATCTTCTTTCTCTTCTGCCAGTCCTTCCCCTGGCTAGCACGGTTCATCATGAGCATGCGTACCAAGAGCCAGCTTCCCGCGCACATCCCATGGGACCCGCACTTCAACCCGCGATATAACCCCTGGAACCAGCGGTTGTGCGTGTCGCCGGACGGAGACTTCTACAAAGCGCTGCGCAAGGGCCGCGCAGATATAAAAACGGATACGATCGACCATGTCACGGAGAACGGAATGAAGTTTGCCTCGGGCGATAGTCTCGAGAATCTCGATATTCTAATCACGGCTACCGGTCTGCGGCTGCAGATCGCCGGCGGGGCATCCATTACCGTCGACGGTGAACCCATCCATCTTGGCGATAAGTACCTCTGGAACGGCGTGATGCTGCAGGATGTTCCGAATACCTCGTTCGTGATCGGGTACACGAATGCATCGTGGACGCTTGGTGCTGATGCGACAGCGCACTTTATCACCCGGTTGATGCGATGGATGGAAGATAACGGTGTTGTAGCTGCGACGCCGCGCCTGGCTGAAAACACGCACTTGGAGGATAGACGGTTGTTGAATCTCAACTCGACGTATGTCACCGTCGCTGAGAAGGACCTGCCCAAGGCAGCTGATCGGGGGCCGTGGAGGCCGAGGGATAACTATATCTCGGATCTATCGTTTGCGAAGTGGGGGAATTTCAACCAGGGTCTTCAGGTTGCCAAAAAGAAGGACCTATAAACTATGTACATTTATGCAATGCTATGCTATGCTATGATAGAATGCACATCATCCTGGTATACCTACTCCGCACGTGGTTACAACCTCGGCATCTCGGCATTCCTCTTCGCACTCCCCTCCAACCCATAAAGAATCTCCTTCCCCCCAGGAATAACCATCTCAAACGTATCCTGCACAACCGCATACTCAAAATACCCACACCTAGCAATGGGCTTCGTCTTGCGCACATCGATCTTCCCATCCGTCAACACCCTATCATCCACATGAACCCCCACCACTTTTCCAATAACAACATCCACAGTTCCCATGGGCGGGTTCGCAGGTAACCTTAGCGTAGAATGATACACGCATTCGAACTTCACCGGCGAGTCCTTGACCATGGGTACATCCATCATACTCGCATCCTCCTTCTCCAGCCCCGCGCGCACGAACTCATCCGTCCCGTACGGGACCTGCTCCGCGGAGATATTAACAGCCTCGCGGAGATCGTAGGTCGCTAGGTTCCAGACGAAATGGCCCGTATTCTCTGCGTTGACGACGGTGTCTTTTCGCGTTTGGGAGGGCGTTTGGTTCGCGGAGAACATCACGTACGGCGGGTCGAAGGTTAGGTTGTTGAATTGGGAGTAGGGGGCGAGGTTGGTGTGGCCGTCGTGGGATTTTGTGCTTATCCAGCCGATTGGGCGGGGGACGACGCAGGCCTGTTGCCATTATCAGGATTAGTAGTGGAGGAAAGAGGGTGAGGGCCATACCTTGAACGGGTCATGAGGAAGGTTATGCGGTGTCGAGCCCGGTTGGTAGAACATCGTGACGATGATTTCGTTTCTTAGATATTTGTGAACATGTCGCTATCCAGCACCCCGGGGGCTATTTAAGCTACCCTTGGCCGAGCCCCGAGAGTGTGGGGAACTCGGACCTCGGATGGCATATTGCTACTGTATCGGGAAAGCGTTGAACCGGACTAGGCCTAGAATGAAGCTTAGTTGCGTGTAGGTCCACACTGTGGTGTGGTTCGGGGAGTTTTCCGGGGAGGATCATAAGGTGCGGTAGGTTATGCATAGATCATGCGTGATAATGAATATGGGAATTTTTTCCGTTTAAAGCTCAACGTATGAATCGTGTATAATGACAGCTAATCCGAAGATAGCCTACAGTAACCATATCGATGTCATGATTTCTCGGCTATCAGCCCTAATAATCCCCCGCATATCCTCACCAGTATTCATTCATAGTAAACGTAATATTCTGACAAACAGCAGTCAACGCCGCACCAGAGATCAATCGCAAATTCCGGCACACCAGTCAACGTCTCCCTAAGCATCACTCTTTCACTCCGAAGTACTCTATAAACCACCCAAAACCGCAGAGGATCCGACTCTGGCATCACGCTATACACCGCATCAATCACGGCACCAGTCCTTGGCTTGTTACTGTCTTGAACATGGAATGAAAGTTCTCTTTAGCCAGAGTTCGAAGGCTTTTGAGTTGGAAGTAGTCGGCGAGATTGTATATTTCTGTGTGGAAGATGGCGATGCATTCACTTTTCATGTCATTTTCGGAGGAGTTTTTGCAGGATTCTGAAAATGTAGCGCTTACTGCTGCTCTCTGGGGAGATGATGTGGTGTGGTTCATCAGATTTTTGACATCGTCTTCGTCGATGGTGTAGTCCCCCGTGTACAGATATTCCAGCAGCTTTTCAATATGAGGAGGATCGAAGTCGTTGAAGTTATCTCTTGTGTCACGCCCTCCTATTTCCGTTAGTACAGGAGACTGGGGGAGTTGGAATTAAGACGTACCCTGAATTTACTGGCACCTGCAAAATAGGAATAACCAGGGCATATAATGTCTTGATGAACCGGGAATTTTTGTCCATCACATATGATCTCAAAGTCACTGAGTTGTGGGTGTTTGCGAAGCCATCTTCTCTTGTTAGTAAACCATGGCAGATTTGAGAGATTGAGTTATTTACGTGGGAGTAGACATTTTGTTGTAATCAGCTTCCTATCAGTACTGGTGCGACACGAGGTCCGTATTCTTTGATCGTTCACATACAGTTATGGTAGGACTGATTTATCTGGTTAGGTTCAATAAAGGATGCAATCAACAGCGATAGTGCACGTGATTCTACGAGTCGAAGAAGCATCAGCACTACGTACCAAATCCAAAGTCTAGCGCGAACCTTGTAGGAATAAGTCTGTGTTTTTAAGAACTGCATTTTCCATTCTGGAAATGCCCAAAGATTCCTGTAGAGTATTTGTATGCACTCCTACCACCTCGAACTTTCATTTATGCGGCGAATGCGGCACAACGCACTAATCAGAAGATCAGTTGCAAATTTCGGCACCTCTCCTATGACCTTGTCGAAACCCTTGTTATTGTCCATCATATTCTGAACCACAATTTTACGCAGACCTCTGTCCGACTCCGGCGTCGTACTGTAAATAACCTCAACAGCTGCAGTAAATGCTTCCACAGTCTTGATCTGGCGAAATGTGTCGGAGAAACTCTGTTCAGCTATGAACTTGAGTCTTCGGCTCTGAAAGCAAGCGCCAACGCCGTACATCTGTGCATGGAAGATAACAATGCGTTCTCTTTGGGTAATCCCTCGGTAAAGGGATTTTGTAGCGCCAAATACTGCCAGGGCTGCCACATCCACATCCTCATCTTTGATAGTATAGTACCCCATGTAGAGGCACTGCAACATAATTTTGACTTGCAGTGGGCTGAACCCGGTGATGGAAATTTCCTGCGCTGCTCCATCCTATATAACGTTAGTATACTGCGGAAAACGGGTTATAGAGAGTTTCATACCGCGAATTTATCGCTACAAGCAGCTGCAAAATATGAAGAGTTAGAGCAGACAACTACTCGATGAGCCGGGAAAGTTTGCCCATCACAGGTAATTTTCAAATCGCTGTATCGAGGGTTGAGATAAAACCTGCTTTGTTAATAAAGTATAGCGAGAAGCTAGATGGTCGTGGAGCTGTATACTCTCGAAAACCCTCTCCCATCTTGCCGATGTAGGCGCCAACGTGCACTTGTGATATATCGCGACTCCCTTTCCTTTCAACTGGATGATTGTCAGTGAGTACAGCATCCATACAGGCTACACGAGCCACAAGCTTCAAAATAAAATGAAGGCAGCGTATTTTATCATAGCGCGTTCGAACATGCAGAAAAACTGACCTTATCACTGGAGTCCAGTTTGTCTGAAGATGGAGATAGAGCAGCTGTCTTGATAGCTCGACAGATGCTGACTTAGAAAATGATGGACGCTGAAAATACAAAGGGAGACAAACCCAATAGTCACATGATTTTGCAAATGTGAATCCCACAATTTATGCTGTTTGCTTAGCCAAGTCCGTTGACCTCAATGTGAACCATAGATTACATTCAGTGCACCCAAATACAGCTAGCCCCTTTGTGACTCTCTGTAGTATATGCTCCCATTGCGGTCCAAGAAGTCTTTTATAGTTGAGAATGGACAATTCCTCTTGTTAGTAGAGCATGGTAAATTGGAATTTTCCAGGTGTTATATATCTCGAAGTACATGGCAGTATATGGGGTCCACCCACCGCCCATAAACGGGTTGTTCTCTTCATGTTAAGTATTGGCACATGAATACATAATATGCAAGTAGGTACCTGAGAAGCCGTTCAGTTACAATCAAAGACATTATAATAGCGATGTGGGGGGCGAAGATTGCAGCCAGGTACAGGGTTACCAGGAATATGCTGACATTTAGTGTTTCGTCTTCGACATTTAGCAAAGCAGATCGTAGATATTCGACTTGAAACCGTAGATCATGAATCAGTAAATGCTTTCAGTGTCCGTATCTGACCAAATGCGTTGAGCGTTGCCTTCAAGCGCGGAGTTGATGCATACATCAGAAACGGTGACCATGACCACTCGAAGTGGTCGTAATCTGGAAGCTACGTCAACAGTGAGTCCTGTGCATACGTCTCTGTGTATTATGGAAGGAATTTAATTAGTAAAAGTCGAATTTAGTATATATTCCACTATATTTAACTCCGAATCGGGTCCGAATGAGGTCTGATAGTAACCATGTATATCATAACCCACAATTGCACACGCACAAAGAGATCACATGGTAAAAGATAAATACTTCCCAGTCCATAATATACCTCTGACTTTGCAAAAAAATTCTGTAAATGCACATCATCACCGCACTGTCTTGGGCGGTGCCATGGGGTTGGACAACCGAGGTGCCTTCATCACGCGCAAGCAGTACAACGAGCTGATACGGACATCGAATGCAAATTCATCCGGTACCTTTCTCAACACACCCCTACTAAGTCTTCTGTCAAGAATGACGATGTCATCAATCAGGATATCTCGCAGCCCCTTGTCAGACTCCGGAGTAGAGTTGTAGACCACTTTGATGACCTCAACCAATGCTTCCTCCGTTTTCCCCGCTCAAGTGTAATCTGGAACTGCCGTTTTGCCGTAACCTTGAGAGCATCAATCTGAAAGTAGTCGCCGAGATCATATATTCTCGCACGCAAAGCGACAAGACATTCCTCGTAGTCCGCAGATTGCATAGGGCTCAACGGGATCGACGAGGTAGTATGGTCCATCGCATTGATTACATCATCGATTTCGACTGTGTAATCGCCCATGTATAGATACTGCAGCATTTTCTCGATGTGAAGCGGCTTGAAGTGGTCGATTGAGATTTCTTGCGTCACTCCCTCCTATTAGCCATTAGTACACCGTACAAACTGGCATAATTAGCGAGAGAGACATACCACAAAGCTACGGTACATGCGGTTGCAAAGTATGAAGAAGAAGAGCAGAAAATAACTCGATGAGCTGGAGATTTTCGTCGACCACAAGTGATCTTCAAGTCACTGTACTGCGGATCGAGAAGCCACCTTGTTCGTCAATAAAGCATAATAATATTGAGGAGTCCCAGGAGATACCTCGAAGCGATGTCTTCCATTTTACCGTTTTAAGGGTCCTGCCTAGGATAGCGCGTTCCTCCCTGGTCCGTGGTGCTGTGAAGTCCGCGTTTCTGTTCATCTGAAGGATGGTAAGTCGAGGGTTCAGAGCTATGGCGCAAGCCAAGGGCAGGACTTGTCCAATTCTCCATCAGAACTTACCTGGAGCAACGAGACTTCCATCGGAGGCCCCAAACGAGCTCATCTTATCTACAGATGATGACGAATTCGCTGGCTTGATAACTTGACAAGTTCCGATATAAAGACAATAAAGGAGGATATGAAGTTAGAAGACCGGGATGAAGAGAAGAGAAAAGGAGAGGGGATCGGAGAGGGATCACATGTGGTACAATACCTTTCTGGCCTTGATACAAGAAATTATGCAATCGAATACGAGTCTGGCCGTAATCAAGGCTTGGTCATATTTGTATACCCTGACAGGATCAGTCTACCAGGATACATTCAAAGATATTCCAACACTGCTACACCAAAATCATAACTAAACTCCAGCACCTGTTTTAACATATCCCTGTTCAGTTTGGGCCCCCATCCTTCTTTATTATTAGAGATTGTCGTCTAGACAACGATATCTCGTAGTCCCCTATCCGATTCTAGTGTGGAGTTATAGACCTCACTGACTGCTGTGCAGAATGCATCGCGGTTCAATAGGAACGAAAATGCTGAGGTAAAGTACCGCTGAGCTGCGGTCTTGAGCCCTGGAATTTGGAAATAATCTCCGACTCCGTACATTTGAGCATGAAAAGCAGCCCGATACTCGAATAGGGAGATGTCCCCATTTTCTTTACCATAAATCTCCGCTAACATTGCGGGCTCAGGGGTGTATTTTTCCATGTACAGATATTGCAGCATCATCTTTAACTGAAAGGGCCCATGGTCTTCCAGAAAAATTTCCTGCGTCAATCCTTCCTACACATCATCAGTCAGGAAAGAAAAGCAAGGCTTCCTAACATACCGCAAATTTGCTATCACAGACAGTCGCGCGAAGTACGACGAATTGGAGCAGACAACGAGTCGATGGGCGGGCAACGTTTCTCCACGGCAAATGATTTTTAAATCGCTATACTTGGGATTCAAATACCATCTGCCATTGTAAATATACTCTGTTTATACTGGATCAAGTTTGGTGTATGTACCGTGGGATAATGTATGCCATTCCATCATATGGAGTAGCGTCCGTTCCTGGTTGCTGCATTTCTTCCACTTTCTGCTCTTGTTCCAGGACAGACATGGGATGGAAAGGTCTACAATCCTCCGAAGAAATAGTACTCGCCATGTTGTTTGCCTTTTGACAACAACATAGAGTCGAAACGGTAGAAAGTACTTTTTGCTGTCCCCGCATCTTGTTGACTCCGTCACATGACCCACTAATCATCACACAATTAGCAAATGTGCCGCTGGTGTACAGAGAAGGCCATATCGAGCATATATAGCGTCTAAGCTGGAATATTGAGGAGCACAAATAATGCGACAGATTCTAGGATTTATCATCCATGCTTGAGAACTAGCATCTACCTTGCCTCCACGATTTATCCTAGTCCAACACAAAAAGCAAAAGTAACCAGTATACATGCGAGCAAGCGACATCCTACCAACAGCTCTACCAGTTCTGAATGATCTCCTTCTCTTGGCTCGTAGGAGTCCCCGTGTTTTACGCCTGGTAGTCCTCTATTTCCCATATCGGAAGCCTGATTATCATGTTAAATAGTTTCTGGGATATGTTAGCATATGTATTTGAAAACCTTGGGTTAGAATCATACACCGAGAATCATGAGCGTCGAGAAAACTCCCAAGCCATAGCCGAAAATCAATGGCACGAAGCTTCTCCCAAAGTATGTGGTAATGAGACCGAATCCATGAGAGTGCCGCATGGTGTATGTATTTAGTTTGAGAAGATTTATTGAATGAAGATTGTTGAAGTCCTGTAAAATGCCGAGAAATATGATGGTAAGGGAAGCTACGCGACGGAGATATAGATATCGCTGCCTTTGACTATACACTCTCTGATGGTCAATATGAAGCAATTTTGAGGCACCGGCGCAGCAGGCAGCGATGGATCAGTGTCGCTGCACGTCCCATATAGGCAGAGAAAGCGTAGACCAGCAGGAAAGATGGAGACATTCCTCGCAATCCATTACTGCCTCTATCTAATTCATTACAAACGCTGTCTTGCCGCAGCTGTAGGAGCTGTGCCATAGAAAAGAAATGACGTTGTTAATTCAACTCCCTAACAAGTGAATACACACACAAAGTCCGTACTCGAAACGCAAGTCATCAGAATAAGCGAAGCCAAACCAAGTCAGACGAAGAGGATCTCTTCTTAACACGCCTAACAGGCTCAACGGACCTGGCAAGCATGTCGGGCTTCATATCGATTCTAAATATCCGCAGATCTCTTTTCAGAAGCGCTTCTGCAATCTCCCTCTCTGCTTCGAACTGGGTCAGATGCGGCACGGGACTGGTGATACCCTTCACCCGCACATAGGGGACAGGTCCTTTATTCTTATCGCAAGAGCCATCTCCCATTTCGAAAGCGACCCCCTGGGATGAGATCCCGTGGCTGGAGAGGATATCCTCGATTTCACAACGCAACGAGGTGTCATCTACCGCTTTGCGAAAGAGACTCTCTGCTGTACTCCCGTCTTCGCTAGGAGAGGACTTGCTTCCCATTTCAGTAAGCTCGATGGACTCGTGTTGGCTCACTCTGGTCTCCATCATGTCCTTGGAGAATAGAGACTTGCACGCAGGAAAGGAACTGGAGAAAAGCATGATGTTTGTATGTTAGTAGCACATAGCTGTTTATAAGTGGTAGTTTGATGTGATGGATAGATCAGTTGTAGGTGGTTGTAGGAAGAAAAAGAGTCTACAACTGAAGGAAGTCTCATAACTCTCGAGGTCTAGACTTTCTCTAGCGAGTAGGCTGCTATTTTTCAAGCTGTAGCCTGTTGTATACTCCGTCATTTGTAGTATGGAAGTGTCCGGATTGCTACCATGGTTCAAGTCAGGGGTCGATGGTAGCCTTGCAATGGCAGCTCCCGTAGTATCAAAGGACAGTTTCGATGAGCTCCTCATGTCTTTTATAGCTTGACTCTGCACATTACATAGAACAAGTGCCTCAAGATAGGAGCCAGACTAATGGCGGCCTGGATAAAATGACAACAAAACAAGGTATATGGGGAAGCGAAATCGGTCAATTGGAAGGAAGATGATTTAGGCGGCGTAGACGTTATAACCATAAAGGGAGATGTGCTCAACAGCACTGATTATGCTCGGTAATTGATTCTCGGATTACGGCATATTTTAATGTTGAAGTTTTAGCTCTGATCTCCCGCTTAGGAAAATGAAGTCACGGCATGCCGAACGCCGAACTATATCCCGACCCACCCAGAACCAGAAGAATGGACACTCCGAGGTCCCGAGAAGCGAGTCCCGAACCCTTCCCAATTATTATCAGAATGCCGGATCCCGAGTTATTATCACCGTATCCGAGTCAGACTATAAAAGATCGATGCAGATCCCCTGTAAGCATGAGACCCTAGATTGCATTAATCTACTTTAACATCAACATCTATCAACATGTCTCAAACACAAGCTCACCTTTGCTTCCGCTCCTTCGTGGAGGCCCTCAAGGCCGACAACGACCTCGTCGAAATCGACACCCCCGTCGACGCCGACCTCGAAGCCGCAGCGATCACTCGTCGAGTCTGCGAAACCAACGATAAGGCACCGCTGTTCAACAATGTCATCGGTATGCAGCACGCCCTCTTCCGCATTCTCGGAGCCCCCGGTTCGTTGAGAAACGGTTCGAAAGACCGCTACGGCCGCTTGGCCCGGCATCTCGGTCTTCCTCCTACTGCGTCTATGCGGGAAATTCTCGATAAGATGCTCGTTGCCAGCGAGATGCCTCCGATTGAGCCTACAATCCTCCCCACCGGACCTTGCAAGGAGAACCACCTGGAGGAGTCGCAGATTGATCTGACAGCTCTTCCGGTCCCGATGGTTCACAAGTCGGACGGCGGGAAATACATTCAAACCTACGGAATGCACATTATCAAGACTCCCGATGGCAAATGGACTAACTGGTCCATTGCCCGGGCCATGGTTTCCGACGAGAAGCATCTGACCGGACTCGTTATCCCCCCTCAGCACATCTGGCAAATCCGCCAGATGTGGAAGAAGGAAGGCAAGGATGTCCCGTGGGCGTTGGCCTTTGGTGTGCCTCCTGCCGCTATCATGGCTTCTAGCATGCCCATCCCCGACGGTGTGACTGAGGCGGGTTACGTCGGAGCGATGACCGGTTCGTCATTGGAGCTTGTCAAGTGCGATACGAACAATATTTATGTCCCTGCTACGTCGGAGATTGTCCTGGAAGGTACTTTATCTATTACCGAGAGTGGTCCGGAGGGCCCGTTTGGTGAAATGCATGGATACATCTTCCCGGGTGACGTCCACGTTTGCCCCAAGTACAAGGTCAACCGGATCACATACCGCAACAACCCTATTCTTCCGATGTCATCCTGCGGACGGTTGACTGATGAAACGGTAAGCATTTCACTTTTCACTTTTCTCCGGGTATAGGATTTAGCTGAAAAAAATAGCATACCCTCATCGGTTCCCTCGCTGCCGCAGAAATCCGGAAAATCTGCCAGCAACACGACCTCCCCGTCACCGACGCCTTCGCACCCTTCGAATCCCAAGTCACATGGGTGGCTCTGCGTGTGGACACCGCCAAGCTCCGCAGCATGAAGACCAACAGCGCCGAATTCCGCAAGAAGATTGGCGACCTCATCTTCAACGAGAAAGCCGGATATACCATCCATCGACTCGTGCTTGTCGGCGATGATATCGACGTCTACGATGGCAAGGATGTTATGTGGGCGTTCTCCACCCGCTGCCGGCCTAGTATGGACGAGACACACTATGAGGACGTTCGGGGATTCCCGTTGATTCCGTATATGGGCAAGGGTAGTGGCTCGCCGGTCCAGGGCGGTAAGGTGGTCTCGGATGCGTTGTTGCCCGTTGAATATACTACCGGCAAGAATTGGGAGGCTGCTGATTTCGAGCACTCGTTCCCGGAAGAGGTGAAATCGAAGGTGTTGGCGAACTGGGAGAAGATGGGCTTCCGCGGCGATTAAATCATTTTGTAATATACCTGTACATATAGAGAGAAATTTATTTTAATGTTAAACTACAAGTGTAATAGAACAATATCCCTGTAAACAAGCTTGAACATGATTGGCTCTCGTGTACTCTAGAAACTGCTGACTCATCCACTTGACATCAACTCCAAAACGTAGGAAAGAACTCACAACAACACAACCAAATCCAACAATGCCATGGCAAACAACTTTGATAAACAAGAGATAGACCGCGTGCTACAGCAGAGGCGGAAGCAGCGCGAATCCAGAGCCTGCTACCCCTGCCGCCAACGCAAGGTCAAATGCGACGGCACGCAGCCATGTCGGACATGTCGGAGACGAGGACATCCGGAAATCTGCGCCTATGATATGTCTCATTCACGGAATAGGTCTGCGTCTGCTGGGAATGAGCAACCTGCCGGTGAAACTGGTCCGGAGTTGAACTGGAGACCCGAACCGGTGCCAAGATTGGGATCGCAGGGGTCTTTGCCAAGTCCTCGAACTCAGGGTTGGAATCAAGGGCAGGCGCAGGTTCAGGTTCAGTCGCAGGGGAATCGAGCCAATATAGCGGAGGGAGGTGAGAAGGAGTACATATTCTCCGGGGATAACTCTGTCGTCTCTATTCTCCGCCAGCGCACGCAGGACGCCAACGGTTTCATGGCCCGGGAGGTCGGGTCGGTGCTTGGCTTGCAGAATACGTACAACAGTTATCCATTCATGGACTCGAAGACGCCGCAGGAACAGTGGTCCTCGCTGTTGCAGATTCTGCCCCAGCGGAAGGAGGTTCTGAAGTGAGTGCCTCATCATAAGTAGTGACATGTATGAGCTAACGCGGATAGGTTCTTCCATTTCTATCGCTTATGTGGATATCCATTCAATCCCATTTTGGTAGACGTGGATCGCTTTGAATTGGATCTCTGCTCGTATCTTAATGCCCGAGCTGCAGGAGAGTTCCGGGATCCCAATTGCATCTCTGAGCGATGGTCAACAGGCGGGTCCGTTGGCCATATCAGTCTGCTGCTAGCTACGTTGTCGGCTGGGGCACACTACTCTGACCTGGAGGATCCACAGCGCTCCGAAGCATATCAAGAGCTAGGTGCGTACATATATAATGTTCAATATCGTCTCTTTACTGACACCATGAAGCCCGTCGTTCATTCCACGCTCTACGCTTGGCTAACTTTCTCTTTCGTCCATCGCTGGATACCATTCAAGCTCTGTTGATACTGGGAAATACGCTACAGAATAATGGTCAGTCAGATGCTGCATGGGCATTACTAGGAACGACTGTTCGATTGGCACAAACTCTGGGGCTACATACAAATAAAAGCATGGCACATTTGCCTGAATATGTTCGCTCCAGAGCCAAATCGCTATGGTGAGTGACGCCATATTCTCCGTTCCGACTTTTTCTGACAAGGAAGGCTTGCGATTGTCTGGCAGGATGGTTTGCTCTGTCTTTGCTACGACCGGCCACCCATCGTCACCATATCCGGCTGGGCAACAGATACCTCTATATTCTCTCGTACAAATTTATCATACACTGATATCATGCACTACCTCTGTCGGATGGCTCTGGATATTGTCAGGTCAGATGAAACAGAAATACAGGAAACCAGCCGGTCACTGGACGCGTTGACAACCTTGGACAACGTCTACAGCCGGGCAGAGCCGCATTTATGCTCGCGCGAATACTGCAGGACCTTCCATCAAAATCTTGAACATCTGGCATTGAAGATGCATCTCTGCTTCGTGGTTTCAGTCCTCTGCCGCCCAGCTGTCAAACGGACCCAGTCGCGGGATGCATTCCATGGACATGAGCTACTCCGCACCCGTGCTAAAACCAGTCTACTCGAGGCCTCCAAAGCATTCCTTGATTTCCAAGCACTGAGTATCGTCCCCCTTCGCACATGGTCGATGGTGCATACGGTACTGAGTTCGACGCTGTTGCTGTGCATCTGGGAAGAAACACGACACGATCCGGAATGTCGGGATCTACAACAGAGAGTGATCGAGGTGTTCTCAGCAACTGGGCCGGCTACCGGCGACTCGGGGGCAGCGTCCGATAACGCACAGTGGCTTTCGGAGCAGCATATTCGGGCATTGGTTACCCTACGTAATGCGGTGGGGAGTGCTTTGGATCAGCAGACGGAGCAGACAATGCCGCATGGGGCCGAGACCGCGCCCGATATGAACAGTCTCTTCCTTGGTTTTGGGTACGTCTAGTATACTATGTTATTCTGTGAGGAATGCTAATGGCAGCAATAGTATGCCAAACGCCTTCCCTGAGGGATTGAACATATCGGATGTATCGCCTGTCACGTATATCGATTCCATCATGAACGGTGAGTTCGGCCGGTCCGGAGGCTCGGCCATAACTGACTCGGTCTGATTTTACAGTCCCACTTTTTGATATCTCTCAGGAGAGCCAGTTTTTGTAATTGGAAATCGGTATCCGATCGGCCCGAGTCATTAGGACAAAACACAAGTAAGTGTCACGGGCTCGGAAACTAGCAGATAAAACGAATAATATTCATATCTGGACTAGGTAGCCTAACAACGAGAATATCGAATCTGGGGAAGAAGAAGAAAAAGAAATCTATCTAGGCGATGAACGATCTTTATAGGCATTTGTGTGGTGCGGCTTAAGCCTTTGTTTGACCATATTGCTTGTATGGCATCGTTTGATATGTTGGCGCTGTTTGTCTGGCGTTGAGCCGTTGAGCCGTCACAGTAAGACAACGGAGTTAGTAGACCGTGAATGTACTCTGTATCATTGAAGTCTTGACGTGCGGAATCTTGCAGAATGTCATCGTCCTAAAAATGTTATCCCTGCTTTGACATGCTCTTTGGCATGTAGTATTAGCATGGCAAATTACGACATTTTGCAATCAGGTTTGGCAGGGCTCGGGATCCAATCTCGGTATCGGGGGCTCGGGGGCTCGGATGTGTCAACGTCAAGTCAACATTTTCTGGAATGACTGATATCCGCCACGTCTGAAGCAAGGTGGATCGCATATAAGAAGCATAGCCATCTGTCGGAATGTGATGATTCCATATTTTGCACCATAGTGGATCTCGGAAAGGATTTGCACAAGGATTAGTGAAAATCGCCTCGACTCGAAACAATAAACACCCGAGCCTTTGACCTGCCAACAAACAATAATCGACACCACAAACTATGCTAAATTCGATATTCTCCGGCAACACCAACAACAACGGCACCGTCACACCACATTCAATGCGCGAATCTCCCGACGCCGAAATGCAGCCCACAACCCACACTACCTCCAATGCCCCCAACAACACCCGCCGCCGTCGCATCGTGGTAGCCATGACAGGAGCTACCGGCGCGACCCTCGGCATCAAAGTCCTCATAGCCCTCCGCCGCCTCAATGTCGAAACCCACCTGGTCATGAGCAAATGGGCCGAAGCAACCATCAAATACGAAACAGACTACCATCCCTCCAACGCCCGCGCCCTAGCCGACCACGTTCACAACATCAATGACATGGCTGCACCTATCTCCAGCGGCTCTTTCAAAACCGACGGAATGATCGTGGTGCCATGCAGCATGAAGACGCTGGCTGCGATTACCTCGGGATTTTGTGACGACTTGATTTCCCGAACGGCGGATGTGATGCTTAAAGAACGGAGACGTTTGGTGCTTGTTACGCGTGAGACACCACTGAGCAATATCCATCTGAGAAATATGTTGACGGCGACGCAGAGCGGGGCTGTAATTTTCCCGCCTGTGCCGGCGTTCTATATCCGAGCTGCTGGGGTGGAGGACTTGGTTGACCAGAGCGTGGGGAGGATGCTGGATTTGTTTGATTTGGATACAGGGGAGTTTGAGAGGTGGAATGGGTGGGCGGAGTCATAGGTTTCTTTGTTCGTTGCGTTTCTCCATTTTCAATTATTATTATTATTATTATTATTATTTTTTTTTTTTTTTTTTTTTTTTTTTTTTTTTTTTTTTTTTTTTTTTTTTTTTTTTTTTTTTTTTTTTTTTTTTTTTTTTTTTTTGCTTTTGCATGGATGGCGTTGGTTTGTTTGTCAATAGACTAGTAATGCATTTCAATAGATTGGGTATATTCTCCGTGTAAGGTATCAATAATATCGAGGACAAGGCCATGCAGATGTCTCGGACGTATGCAGGTTTCTATCACATTTACTCGTACTCTGCACGGAGTGTTCGGGGTATCCTTGTTCGCCGGATGTGCATGATCCGAGGTTTTATACGCAGTGCGTACCCAAATAGACAACCTGATTTACTTCAAAATATTAAACGCAACTGTCAACCCCACTTTCCTACATTATGCTAATAGCCCTGCCTATCATCTTTAACATATTTCCCCGCGGGGAGCAGAATGCGGGGATCCGATCTACTCCTTCCACATAGAAAAACATACAAGCAAACCTCGGTTCACGTGTCTAATACTCCCTTTACAGTAAGAATTAAATCAGCCTATAATCTGACATCTACAAGTCATTTTGGCGTTTGTCTTGTCCACCTGACACATCCAGCCACTATGTCTTAGGTTGCAGGCAGACAGGCAGGAACGGGACAAAGGCACATGAGTCCCGGTCGTGCCTGCCTACTAGGCAATTCCCGAAAAATTGTAATCATGACTGGAGTATAAATGTGACATGTCCGCTCTCGGTATTGAATGAGACAGTTTTTATGTGCGCATCCGCATCGTATCCGCATAAATGCATCGTTTTTTTTCTATTCTAGGTCTGCTGCCAGCCGTCCTGGCAGCACCGGCTATTCTGGGCGCGCCTACTGTTACTATTCCGTCTCCCCAGGCTACGGTTGCAGGTCAGGCTGGGCTCAAGGTTGAGTCGTTTAATGGGATTCCGTTTGCGCAGCCACCGACTGGATCTCTTCGACTGAAGCCACCGCAGCCTATTGAGAGTGCTCTGGGCGATGTCGACGCGACGGGAATTGCGCAGTCGTGTCCGCAGTTTTTCTTCGCTACGGATACCTCCGAGTTTCCTGGGTCTGTGGTCGGGCAACTGGCTAATATCCCACTCTTCCAGAAAATTACTAATGCTGGGGAGGATTGCCTCACGCTGAATATTCGTCGTCCGGCGGGAACCACTGCGGAGGATAAACTACCTGTGCTGGTATGGATTTTCGGTGGAGGATTCGAGTTGGGATCGTCGACTACGTATGATGGGGCGTCGCTTGTGCAGAACTCGATTGATCTGGATATGCCGATTGTTTTCGTCGCGATGAATTACCGTGTTGGCGGATTTGGGTTTATGCCTGGTGCTGAGATCCTTGCGGACGGTGCGGCGAACCTGGGTCTGCTTGACCAACGGCTCGCGCTGGAATGGGTAGCTGATAATATCGCTGCGTTTGGAGGCGATCCGGATAAGGTGACGATCTGGGGTGAATCGGCGGGATCAATCTCCGTGTTTGACCAGATGATGTTGTACGACGGGGATATCGATTACAAGGGGTCGCCGTTGTTCCGAGGTGCCATTATGAACTCTGGGAGTGTGGTACCTGCAGATCCAGTGGACTGTGACAAGGGGCAGAATATATACGATACCGTCGTGGCGTACGCTGGGTGTGATACAGCCGAAGACACATTGGAGTGTCTGCGCGGGTTGGATTACACGGACTTTCTCAACGCTGCGAACTCGGTCCCTGGGATTCTGAGCTATAATTCCGTGTCACTGTCGTATCTTCCTCGTCCCGACGGTAAGGTTTTCACGCAGTCACCCGATTTCGCCGTGCAGTCAGGCAAATACGCCTCGGTGCCGTTTATCGTCGGCGACCAAGAAGACGAAGGCACGCTATTCGCCCTCTTCCAATCCAACCTAACCACCACAGACGATCTAATCGAGTACTTTTCCGACATCTTCTTCTTCCACATCTCGCGCGACCAGCTACAAGCCCTCATCGACACCTACGAAGACACTGCTGAAAATGGCTCCCCCTTCCGCACCGGCATCTTCAACAACTGGTACCCGCAGTTCAAGCGTCTAGGAGCCATCCTAGGTGACTTAACCTTCACCCTCACCCGCCGCCTATTCCTCAAATACGCCAAAGAGCTCAAGCCCGACGTCCCCGCATGGTCCTACCTCGCCTCGTACGATTACGGCACCCCGATCCTGGGTACGTTCCACGGCAGCGACATCCTCCAGGTGTTTTACGGTATATTGCCCAATTATGCATCGAGGTCGATACACTCGTATTACCTCAGCTTTGTGTATGAGCTCGATCCGAATAAACGGCGTGGGGAGGAGTTTCCGGAATGGCCGCAGTGGACAAACGAGGAGGTGGAGTTGATGCAGTTTTTCAAGGATAAGGGGGAATTGTTGAAGGATGATTTCCGGAATGAGACGTATGATTTTTTGCTGGAGAATACGCAGGCGTTTCGGATTTGATTACTGTGTGCATATTGCATAGATGAATGTTAGTGGTTATTGTTCAGGTGTATATGGCACATGATCGGTCAGGTGATGGCTCAGCTCAGTCATCCATATCATTTGAAAATTCTCTTTGCTCGAAGGTAGAATCCACACAGCCTCTAAGCTAAGATTAGGCTCAGACGGCAGAGGGCATGTGGCTTGCAGCCTCATGCTATGCTTAATCGAGATTCGAATCATCACATTGCCATATTCAGAAAGCTAACGATTAGGCTCTGTCAATTTATAACGGGTAGCGATGAGCGACTTGGGATGGAATTTAGCATATCAAGAAAGCGTACTGTTAGACCCCAATGGCCGGTGTTATGTCATGTTTAGGGCTTTCTGGGGTCTTCGTATTTGCGGTGCGTATCCGTTGTGCAGGTGTATAGGGGTCTCTGGAATTAATCACTCATACTAGGTCTACCTGGCAATGTAATTATCCATACAACGTCTTTAAATTCACCGCTATGCGGAATAGCGCATATCCAAACTCGTATAGCACGGAACAAATAACTAGTGCATAACTTATGCAGTGACTAATTTGCACAAGTAACACCACCCAATCAGAAACCGCCGATCAATTGCATCATCCGAGCTGATATATTGCACTTCTCACAACAAATCCATTTCTCTCTCTTCAAATTCCAAGAATCACCATGAAATTCGCCAAATCTCTCCTCATAGCAGCGTCGAGCTTCTCTGCGCTCGCAGAGGCCAATGTACCCGATCTCCAGGTCCCCGTCATTGGTTCGGGCAGCAAGGCCGCAAAACAACCCAATTTCCTCTTCATTATCTCCGACGACCAAGATCTGACGTTGGGGTCTACGGATTATACGCCGTTGACGGGCAAGTATATTAAAGAGAAGGGGACTTTCTTCCGGAATCATTTTGTTACGACGGCGTTGTGTTGTCCGTCGAGAGTTAGTTTGTGGACTGGGCGACAGGCGCATAATACGAATGTGACGGATGTGCGACCGCCATATGGTGTGTTTCAATTACTTATTGGCAGGTGATTCGACTGCTGACTTGTGTAGGGGGGTATCCGAAGTTCGTGGAACGCGGATTCAATGACAACTTCCTTCCTATTTGGCTCCAAGAAGCCGGGTATAACACGTACTATACCGGGAAGTTGTTCAATGCGCATACTGTTACCAACTACGACAAACCTCATGTTGCTGGCTTTACTGGATCGGATTTCTTGCTTGATCCGTTTACTTACGATTATCTCAACTCCACCTACCAGCGCAATCATGACCCTCCGGTTAGTTACGAGGGTCGACACACAACTGAAGTGATCACGGAAAAGGCATTGGGCTTGCTAGATGACGCTCTTGAGGGAGAGAAACCGTTCTTTCTGGCGGTTTCGCCGATTGCACCACATACAAACGTGAATTCGTCGACGTTTGGGAGCGGAGCGGCAATGACGGAGGCAATCCCGCTTGACAGGCATAAGGATCTGTTTCCTGATGCCAAAGTACCGCGGACTGGGAGCTTTAATCCGGACGAGCCAAGTGGAGTCAGCTGGATTCGCGATCTGCCTCTGCAGGACCAGTCTGTCATTGATTACAACGATCATTTCTATCGTCAACGCCTGCGTTCCCTGCAGGGCGTGGATGAGCTGGTTGAATCGCTTGTAACCAGTCTCGAGGAGAGCGGCCAACTCGACAATACATACATCATCTACACATCCGACAATGGTTTCCATATTGGTCAGCACCGCCTGCCGCCTGGGAAGTCGACAGGATTTGACGAGGATATCCGGGTTCCTTTCTTTATCCGCGGACCTGGTGTTCCAGAAGGAGTGGTGCAAGACGCAGTCACCACTCATATCGATCTGGCACCGACGTTCTTCGACCTAGCTGGTATTCCATTGCGTAAGGACTTTGATGGAACCCCGATGCCCATTCACAATTCAATTGAAACCACACACGAGCATGTCACTGTGGAATACTGGGGCAAGGCGTTTTTGGAGGGAGAGAAGGGCGGACTTGGTAGGTTCTCCCCGACAGGTTAATGTTCAGTGCTTACAGAACTAGGTCCCGGTGGCCAATTCAACGTTCCCCATAACACCTACAAGTCCGTGCGGATTATCGGCGACGGATATGACCTGTACTACTCCGTCTTTTGCACTAATGAGCATGAATTATATGACTTGACGGTATGTCGTCTGGGATAAATTGCATGTCCATTGCTAACTTCTCAGACTGATCCCTACGAAATGAACAATTTATATTCGGACGATCGCTCGCAACATATTCTTGGATACCCATTGGAACATGTCGCATCCCGACTCGACTCACTATTGCTCGTTCTCAAATCATGCGAAGGCCGCAATTGCATCAAACCATGGAACGTCCTCCACCCCGACGGTTCTGTACAGACCTTGCGCGATGCCCTTGATTCGCAGTACAACACTCTCTACCAAGAAACACCAAACGTCGCCTTCGACCGATGCGAAAACGGCTACATCGTCGACGCGGAGGGACCACAAGCGGACTTGCTTTACCGCGATGGCTTGAGCTGGGAGTCGTGGACCTAAAATCCACTAAAAATTTAGGTATAGACACTAGAACCAATACGGTTAGTCTTCATTAATTAAGCGTTTCCGGACATAGTTTAGCGCACTCCATAGTGGCGCCGTGATTCGCCCGACCAGTCACTATGTAGTGCCGATTACGCCTTGCGTTCCCGGTTATGTATTCGCAAGATCTCGGGGTTTCTACGGGGGAAGTCTTGCGCCGAAGCTGCGTAAGCAGATCAGCTGTCGGAACAGAGCGATAAGTTCAGCTGGTCCGGTATAAGATTTGTGGATGTCGCAAAGGCTTTTTTTGTGTGCGAAATTGAGGCGAGGGACATTGTGCACTGCGCGCGACTATGACATTCGAGTCGGACAGCGGCGTCGCGATCGAAAAGAACGTCAACAATGAGGTCTCCGATGCGCCGAACGGGATTGTCAAGGATTGGGATGCTGAAGAGGGACCATTGCGGCGCAAGTAAGTTTCTTGATCGCAATCCCAATCGCACTAACAATCCAGAATCGATTGCATCCTCCTCCCTATCCTCGGAATCGCCTTTTTCTCCCTCCAGATCGACCGCATGAACATCAGCGCCGTCTTGACATCGACGATCACCGATGACCTAGGCATCACCACGAATCAGGTTAATGTCGGATCGCAATTACTGTCCGCCGGAATCGTCGTGACGGAAATACCATCGAATATCGTTCTCCAATGGCTTGGTCCACAGAGATGGTTATCACTACAATAGTTCGCGTGGGGGTTGGTCGCGACGTTCCAGGCGTTTATACAGTCATACCCCGCGTATTTGGCTACGAGGTTGCTTTTGGGGATGCTGGAGGGTGGGTTTATACCCGGAGCGCTTTACTATCTTTCGACGTGGTATAAGCGCGATGAGACGAGTTTTCGGGCGACGCTTTTCTTCTTCGGGCAGATGCTCGCTGGTTTGTTGACTCTTGATGGGAAGGGGGGATTAGCGGGTTGGCGATGGGTGTGGTTGGGTATGTGCATATACTGTCAGGTGGTTGAACATGGCTAACAACATCTAGTGGAAGGACTCATCACCATCTTCGCCTGAATCATCTTCACCCTCCTCATTCCACCCAAAGCCGGAGACGGTAGACCGCTTATCAGCATGGGCCGCTGGAGCTACTTCACCGAGCGCGAATCGCAAGTCATCCGTGACCGCGTCATCCTCGACGACCCGCTAAAAGTGCAGGGCCATATCAAAATCACCGGCCGCGATATCTGGGATACGATCCGGAAGCCAAACGTGATACAACACTTTATGGTCTCGCTCGTCGCCATGTCTGCATACCAGGGTCTGACGCACTATACGCCCAGTATGATCAAGTCATTCGGTTTCGACAGCGTGGATGCAAATGCACTAGCTTCAGTACCGGTGTATTGCAGTATGGTCTGGACGTTGGTGCTGGCGTATCTATCTGACTGGCTCGGGCACCGAGGTCCATTCATGTTACTGGCTATTACGTGGGATGTCATTGCATACCCATGTCTGCGGACGACGCCGTGGGATTCGTCGCAGTGGCATAAATATGGTGTTATTTGTGTGGCTAATGTGGCGTATATCAGCATGCAGTGCGTTGCCCCTCATACCTCTCAACCTGACCCGGAACTGGCTAAAACAAAACAGCATCCTAAACGTCGGCTGGCTATCCGTCTACTGCGAGCGTCCTCAAGAACGGAGTGTAGCCATGGCGTATGCTCCTCCCCTTTCCTCCCCCTCTACACTGTGTCAACATCCGCTAATCCTACGCATGAACAGGGTAATCGTCATGGCCGCCAATTGTGCAGGTATCTCCGGCTCGCAGATCTTTCGCACGAGTGACAAGCCGCGGTATATATATGGGTTGACGGCGATTTGTGCACTGGCGGGGGCAGCGTTGGTGTTGGCCGCGGTATTGAATTTGTATTACTTTTTTAGGAAGAGGGGGAAATTGGGTTGATTTGATGAGAGATATTGGTACATAAATCAATATGCTTAATACCTGATTTTGAGTACAGGAGTCTAATAGCACTTGTTCTTCACAGTTGCGTGCGAATGCCACGACATCATGAATGAGACAAATAATTGAGAAAACATAAAACAGATACAGATTCATCCCAGCCATGTTCAGGATAATCGAAATGTTTCGTTTAGGACCGATCTCATGTTACGAACTACGATGGTCGAAGGTTGGAGAAGTTGGACCCTGTTGGCTTAGTTAGTTAGCCAGGAAATCGGGGTCATGATCTTATTATGCGTATTCTCCGCAAATTCTAAAGAATGCAGTTTTTTATGGAATAAAGAGAATACAGGTCGCTGCCTAAGAAAACAAAAACTCGAACTTCAAATAGAAATCAGCCTCGAATAGGTAAACTAGTTATCTGTATATTAATTACGTCACAGTGACATAACGTATTTCCCAAGCGACCCGCCACCCTACCGCGTTCGCGTCACCCACGTCGCGTCCTACCATTTTCAACCACTCACTATGCCACCAAAATGCACTCAATTGAGCCAACAAGAGGGCAGAATCCTGCTTGCTATTGAGGCTATCAAGAAACAGGAAATCACAGTGATTGCTGAAGCAGCACGTCAATTCAATATACCTTGAAGTTTGAACAACACTACATGACTGACTAAGTGGCCACCAGAATCGCACTGAGAAACGCGCTAATAACCATAAATTGAACAAAAATGAAGAGAATTCACTTGTACAATGGGTGCTTTCTATGGATCTTCATGGAGCAGCCCCCTGGCCTGCTACTGTGCAGGAAATGGTGAATCTTCTACTTGCAAAGCATGGTGAGACCCCCCCTCAGACAGTCAGCAAGAATTGGGTTACAAACTTTGTTAAAAGATATCCTGAGCTTGCCTCTCACTTCTCACAATGATATGACTATGAGCGCGCAAAAACAGAGGATCCAAGGGTCATCCAGGAGTAGTTTGACTGTGTTCTTTGTACAATCAAAGAGAATGGTATCCTTCAGAAGAATATCTATAACTTTGATGAGACAGGCTTTGCAATGGGCCTCACAGCAACTGCTAAGGTTATTACTTGATCTGAATACTATGGTCAGCGCTCACTTTTACAACCTGGAAATTGTGAGTGGGTTACAGCCATTGAAACAATTAATGCCTCTGGGTGGGTGCTTCCACCAGTGATTATCTTCAAGGGCAAGGTCCTTATTAAAGGCTGGTTC